TCAATTACCATCACGGTGTGGGGAGGCCTCCATCCAGCAGTATACTGTGAAGAATGATGGTAGATATAGTTTTGACAATGTATGAATGGTTATAGATAAAACAAATCTGAAAATGTGAAGTGCATATGGGCATTTTATGGTTTAATATAGCTGTGTTAGAATTAAACGAAACCATTTCACAAGTCAGATGTGCAGGATTGCTTTCTTATAAAAAAAAATGTTTACGTGCCACAGATAATACGATAAGATTTAATATCACTGGAAACACGTGCCACTAAACACATTTGCTTTTGAGAGTGAAACTAATTCTTGATTTTATGGTTTTCCTTTATTTGTCAAAATAAGTTTGTTTAAGTAATTCTCTTATAACACGATACCTCTAAATACTCTACTAAACCTATGCATGGTCCTTGTGACATGTGTGTGTACATAGTCGTTGCGTTAAAGTCCACCGAGCCTGGCACAAGCGCTTTGGTGATGTTACCAATTACTTTAGCGGCGAATGGCGGTTGTTGTTGGTATGGCAAAATATGTACGTGAAAACAATTGAAATGTATGAGACTGTTTAACACGTCGGCTTTCGCCACCAATATTATCCATAATACAGGTTTTTTTGGGTTAGATCACGTAAATATGTGTCGTTAAACCCGTCACCGCCCGACACAGCCAATTAGGAAGGTCTGTCATGTAAACAGAACATGCTAATTCGTTCATAGTACAGCACACTGGTGTGGCTGTCGCCTGATGAAGCTAGTTGTAATTACTGGGGAACGTCGTACACAAATTGTAAATGTTGTGGATTTACTCTCCAACACACCGGTGTGCTGTAATAATAACGAATTGGCATGTTTTGTTTCCGTGACAAACTTTAATAAATGGCTGTGTCGGGTGGTGGCGTGTTTAACGACACATTTCTATTCATGCAATCTAACCACAAAAAAGCCGGTATTATGGATGTATGAAACTGCATTTGCTGTGAGACAAAATAGTTTCGTATCCTTGAATATTATCACACTACACACGCATTTAATTGCATTGTTTTATACCAACATAAATCAGCAACGTGTATGATATCGCCACATTTACAGTATGTGTGTGAAGCAGTCTGCATTACAATTGTATTACTTTGACTCAATATATTAAAGTGTATGTACTATTGATTCTGATTATTCCAACCATTATTCATTGAAAGCCACAACAAAAATGCTTTATCACTGCCAAAAAAATTCCATCACAGGAAGAGCAGCGCCTCTTTTAAGAGTCCTTTCAGGACATTTATCTCTTACTTTAACTGTTGGGAATATGTCGAAATTGTTTTGCACAGAACAACAACGATTGACATTTATGTTGCATCTAAATGCAATCACATCTCAAGATGCGTTATGAAATAGAAAATAACTACTTATGAAACAGAGGGAATGGGGCGTATTACACACAGAGAGTGCTTGCCACAAATGAACCACAATACCTTGCTGATCCCGTCAGGGAGCATCAACCAACACGCGAACTCCAGTCATCCTCGCAGCGGCTTTTGGCTCGCCATTGAACAAAGACGGTCACCGTATCATGCACTTTAAGGTGTGCTTTTACGGCCGTCTGGAACGCTCTTCCTTCCGATATTAGGTATCCACTGGAGCTATGCACTTTTAAAACATATAGATTGAAAACTAATTTCTTTATAACTGCTTTTCGTGGTTAGTTGTTGTCCTTCCTCCGCATCTCCAATTAACACAGTTGGCTACATACGGTGCGGAATAAGTTCAACATGCATACGTACAGGACAAAACCACACGGGAGAGAGGTTGAGAGAGCAACACGGAGCCACAGCTCCGCAAGAAGCAATCAGGGCCGATCGCCAGCAACAACAAACCCCAACTGGAGGCCCACGGACCATCACCAAACAAGTCCCAGTCCATGTTTTTCAGAGGACAGTTAACGAGAGCACATGCATAATGAAATAACTCTGCATGATGCATTTGTGTCATTACCTACGTAAGATGCAGATATTTGAATATCCTTTCACTCCTCCCTTGACTCTATATAAAAGTTCAGTGGCACATCCATAGCGATTCATATTTTGAAATGTTTCCCTCTGTTTATTGTCTTTTACCTGCCCATGAAAGGCTATTGCCAATTTTAAATACCGCAGTATACAAATGTATGTAATTAGCAATACACAGTATTGCATTTCAGTTTGATTTCAAGTCTCCCTTGGTTCACCCTGCACTACGTATGGAGTCTCTTATCCAGCACGGGATTGGTTGTGAGATTTTATAGGGTTGTTTTCCAATCCAAAACTAGGTTTACTGCCATTCAAACATTTTAAGTTAATGAGTAATGTGATTAATCAAACACTTAATATTATAGTCACCTTTAATCCAGTCACCTTACTTTGACTAAATATATGTACATTTCAATTTAATTAAATGCATTTAAATACTGGGTCACGAACGTGATTGTGCACACTGGAGTAAATTAGAATGTTGTGTTAGCAGCAGCAGGCAAACATTCACACATGACATGGGTATATTCTACACAGGTACATCAATAATACATTCGGTTGCTCATAAGTAAATCCATTGGGAAATTAAAAAAAATGTGCTGCACAGGCTCATGCCATTACAACAGGTCATATGGTTTGGTTTACATGTGCGCCTCGGTGGATCAATATTATCACAGGCGTGTCCGCTCAGGGAGAAAACAAAACGTGTCCAGACCAATATTTACCCATTTCTTTGCTTGTGTAAGGTAAGCCTGTCTTACCGGATAAGGGATGGATTGGGTATGGACAGGTTTTTTTTTATAGAAGTATATGTCTAAGAGGTATTGAGCCATTTGTGTTAAAAAATGTATGTCCAAATGCATTTGCTGGCAAGTTCTTTGAGCAATTGTTAGAAACCACATTTTTCAACAAAACTCCCCGTGACCTCTAGGTTTAATAGATTGAGAACGCCGTGAAACACAATGATCCAAAACAACAAGAACAACAATAACCCAATACTCCACTAAGACAAGACGGTCCCTCAAATACACTGCCCTTTATAATTGAACTATCGATATCATGGGTAAGGTTCATAGTTTCAAACCACAGTGGCAAATGTGTCAGTATCTGGCACTAATCAAAAGGTTTCGCCATCTCATTCAGCCATCGTTCAACTCATCCACAATGTCATCCATAATGTGACCAATCTTGTAAGAATCTGGAAGTTAAGCAGGTTTGAATCTGTTGTTGCTTGAATGGGTGAGCACCACACACGCCGCTTTGGTCTATGCTGTTGCAGGGCTGTGCTACGTGGTGGCCGGCAGAGGGCAGTGCATCAGAATTAAATGTACTGTGCTTCTTACTTTGTGTGGAGAGGCGATCGTCCAGCAGTGGATTGGATTGAGAAATGGGCTTTGTTACACTTCAGTCTGCTCCTGCCCATCTGATCTCCCCCAATGCCCGCCCTCGTCAAGACATAGAGCATTGATATTCACTTTTCAGTTGGATTTTATTGAAGTGCAGCTGTTAATTACGAACAATAAGACAGTACAAAAATACAATGATCATCCATGATCATTGCAAAATAAACTTAAACTTGATTCACGGATCCTATCAAAAGCAAATTAATGCACGTATCTGATGCCGATGAAAAGTTGCAGGTAATAGTATGAACAGAGTTGTAGCGGTGGGGGTGTGAGTCCGGATAATAGGAGTGGCGAATAATGCCAGTTGCGGATAATGGAAGTGGCAGATAATGGGAGTGGTGGATAATTGGAGTGGCAGATAATGGAAGTTGCGGATAATGGCAGTCACGGATAATATGAGTCGCGGATAATGGGAGTGGTGGATAATGGGAGTGGTGGAAAATGGGAGTGGTGGAAAATGGGAGCGGCAGTTAATGCCTGTGGCGGATAATGGGAGTGGCAGATAATGGGAGTTGTGGATAATGGCAGTCACGGGTAATGGGAGTTGCGAATAATGGGAGTGGTGGAAAATGGGAGTGGTGGAAAATGGGAGTGGCAGTTAATGCCCGTGGCGAATAATGGGAGTGGCAAATAATGGACGTTGCGGATAATGGCAGTCACGGGTAATGGGAGTCGCGAATAATGGGAGTGGTGGAAAATGGGAGTGGCAGTTAATGCCTGTGGCGGATAATGGGAGTGGCAGATAATGGGAGTTGCAGATAATGGCAGTCACGGGTAATGGGAGTCGTGAATAATGGGTGGATAATGGGAGTGGTGGAAAATGGGAGTGGCGGTTAATGCCTGTGGCGGGTAATGGGAGTGGAGGATAATTGGAGTGGCGGACAATGGGAGTGGCAGTTAATGCCTGTGGCGGATAATGCAAGTGGTGGATAACAGGAGTCGCGGATAATGGCAGTCACAGATAATGGGAGTGGCGAATAATGGGAGTGGCGGATAATGGGAGTGGCGAATAATTGGAGTGGCAGATAATCGGAGTGGTGGATAATGGGAGTGTTGGAAAATGGAAGTGACTGTTAATGCCAGTGGCGGATAATTTGAGTGGCGGATAATGAGAGTGGCGAATAATGGGAGTCGTGGAAAATGGGAGTGGTGGATAACGGCAGTGGCGGAAAATGTCAGTGGTGGTTAAAGCCAGTGGCGGATAATGAGAGTGGCGAATAATGAGAGTGGCGGATAATGGGAGTGGCGGATAATGGGATTGGCGGATAATGGACGTGGCGGATAATGGGAGTTGCGGATAATGGGAGTGGCGGAAAATGGGAGTGCTGGTTAAAGCCAGTGGCGGATAATGAGAGTGGCGGATGATGGGAGTGGCGGATAATGGGAGTGGCGGATAATGGGAGTGGCGGATAATGGGAGTGGCGGATAATGAGAGTCGCGGATAATGAGAGTCGCGGATAATGGGAGTGGCGGATAATGGGAGTGGCGGATAATGGGAGTGGCGGATAATGAGAGTCGCGGATAATGGGAGTGGCGGATAATGTATGTTCACGCGCGTGAGAGCGAGGCAGCCAATGGCAGAGCTCTTGTGTTGAGAGACGACCAATCCGGCTGCCGGCTGCTCGCCCGAGAGAGGAAGCCGACAGCAACTCGGCCCCTAGGACGCGCGGGCGGATGAGCGTGCGCTTTTGAACATCGAGGTTTGTCATCGTTAACAAAACAACGACGATAATAATAAATTATGTATCATTGAATAGCGTTGACTGAATTAAACAACCGAGTGGCGTTTTATTATCGCTTCATACGCCGTTAACAGCAGCATCATGCGGGGTAGCCTCTGCGCTTGCCCATTCCAGAGCCTTTTGTTAGAGCGATCGCGTGCGACACTCGCCAAACATCGCAATTCTGTCGTGTTTTTTTACAAACTTAACCCTTAAACGTGCGACTAGATTATCTTTTAACCCTCTGCATGTTAGATGTTGCGCTTGAAAACAGAACCGCGCGTGTTTATTGTCTGCAGTTTTCTTCCGTCCATTCACGTGCCCATCCAACCAGCCACGGCCCCCGCGTCGAGGAGGTGCCCGCCCTGCGGGAGCCGAGACCGCCTACCCCGGCCGTGGATCTAGGCGAGGGTCGGTGTCTCGCGCGGGGCCTCGCACAAGTCGCGGCCATTTGAACGATCCGGATTTTTTGGTATTTTTGGGTACCAGCAGCGGCGGCGGCTGTCGAGGCCGTCTGCGTTTGTGTGTGTGTGTGCGCGCGACCGTGTTAACGATTTTCGACAAAGATGAGGTGGACGGCGAGGGTACAATGAGCCGTGGCAGTCCCGTCAAATCGTACGACTACCTGCTCAAGTTCCTCCTGGTGGGGGACAGCGACGTGGGCAAAGGGGAGATTCTGGCCACGCTCAGCGAGGACGGGGAGGGAGAACCGCCGGGATTCTGCTCCGGAGTCGGTGAGACCATCGCATTCAATTCCCTCCCCAGCTCTGTCTCTCTCCCTTGGCCCCCTTCTTCCTTTCCGGGAGTCTGCGGGATTCGGCTTTGCGGCTGGCACCTGGCGCACCACGTTCTCATTCTCTCTCTCGCGCTATGGCCGTTCTTGACAATGTCAATACCAGTCCGACTCCCGTTTATTCGGTTCCAAATATCCGTGATCCCAACCCGGGCATTATTCTCCCGTTCATACGAGGACGCGACCACGAATAACCACGGATAATTTGAAGTGTTTGCCGAATAAGTCCGTTTGAATGTCATTACTCCCCCTCCTCCCACCACGGATATTTTGAAGAATCTGGTTTCGCTGACCACCCGATTAGGGCAAATTAACGGATACACGAATTCACGGATGACACACGGAGTTTGTATGTTCAGGAGCCAAGTGCCAATGTTGAGGGCTGCTTGCCACGACGGGAGGGCTTCGAGAGTGGCCTTGTGTACGTTTTACAACGCCTATAATGATGGAGTGAAGACCACAGTGTGGTATACGCTAAATGGTCCAGAGTTGGATTGGATGACCACAATCACACCCTGTGGCTTGTCTTTAATGTGAGATGCGCGCATCATCGGCCTGTTCCATTGTACGATGCAGTTGATGGTACACCAGTGTCTTCAAAGAATGTCAAAGGCAGGAGGTGTGCGATGTTTGGATCTCGAATTGAGGTGTTTATTCCGGAAGTCTGCACTGTTCCAGTCGGTTTGTCAGAGGTTTATTTTTTTTTCTGGATCCAGTGAGATTCCTGATTGATGTGGCTACTCGTCAGTAGGCTTGCCACCTGGCCGGGTTTTCAAGTCGTGATTTTTATTCGGCCTTTGTCTAAAATCTTTCTTTACAGTGGGGGTGGTAGGAATGAATGTGTCTTGAAGTTAGCAAACGTTGGTGATGTTGGTGGTGCCGATGGTTCCGCTTGTGGTGTTGAAAGTGGTAGTGCTGAGGGTAATGGTGCTGCTGTTCGTTCTGGTAATGCTTTGCTAGTGGTGGTTTGCTGGAAATAATTGTGGTGGTATTTATGGTTGTTGTAATGGTGGCTGTTTACGAGGCAGCTGGAAGCTCCTTTTGAAGTTAAGACGGTAGCCACTGGGGGCCCATGATCGGTAGCCAGGGCTGCCCACATGGCTGTTGGCAAGAATAGTCAATGCATTCTTCCACTTTCCTAAAGTTTAGGGGGGCAGTTGAACCCCCCCCCCCACCCCCCTCTGCTCCCTATGTTCTTACACTTTTTTTAGTCACATACTGTATTATAATAATGCAGTCCGCCTGCTGTATTTTTTCACCTGAAGACGGCTGACACGACACAGTCCAACCATGCCCACCAAACGTGCAAGATCATCGCTCGTGATTTTTTATTAGTTTATTAATTTTTCTATCTACGCGACTTGACCGAAAGATCCAAAGAGAATGCATGTACATTTTTTTCATGCCCATTTGGATTAGTGGTGGAAATTCCACAGTTGCACGACGGGTACCGGGTACCATTTTGTCCGTGGATACAGCCAGCCAATGTTTACTTCTCACCAAGTAATGCATGGCTGCCGTTGTGTGTTTTGACGAACCCAAAAGGGCCCTTAAGCCCTTAGCAAGTACAGCTCCTTGAGACAAAGGAAACTCTTGAATGGCTATGTTCATCTGTTTGGTGATTGTACCAGGGTGTGAGTACACACAGGTTTAAAGCTGAAGTTGGAGTACTTAATAATAATGGCTGTATTGTACTGATGATTCCTAGCAAAAATGAAAATGGCATAGAGTTATATGACTGTCCTATTGCCATCTACAATAAAACTAATTTGAGTTGGTAGTCTAATACAAGGATGTGTGTGCATCGTACATGAAGTGTGCTGATGTCTCATGGCATGTGAATCATGTTGGGCAATCCAATGTTATGGTCAAAATCGCACCTTTTGCTGTCATGAAATTACACTTTTGTGTGTGTTACTGATATTTTTTCCAGCCTGCACACTTTTATATCTGATGAGTTTTGCAACATTTACAAAGCGTGTTAGAATTTCATTCACAAATATATGTGGTAAATGCAGACATGGTTCCTTGCAAAGGTTTCAGTTTGGTGTTTGAACGTCTTAACACCTGTTTTAGTGCCAGAAATAGGAAAACCATATCATAACGTGTTAGAATTTGCTTAAGTAAAACAAAATAAAATCTGAGTTTTTAAACTTGGAAATTATTGTTGAACATACACAATGAAGACATTTCAATTAGCATTGTAGATGTTGGGTGGTTGCTGGTTATAATGTTCATCATTACCAGCAGCATCTATCAATTGCATAAGTATCACAATAATTAATCATCGGTAATATAATTCATCATAATTAGGAACACTAACTTTACACCATCAACATCAGTGATGTCACCGGCAGATACAGCAAAGATGGCCACTAACAATGCATTGGTCCATAGGTTTAGATTGTTATGTTCAGATACGTTTAAGAGACATTTAATATGCATGTAAATGATAGAAAATTAATATCATGCTACATTTCGGTGAATAGAACAAAAGCATTTCTACAAACTGGACAAATAAATGAAAAACAATCCAATGAGGCCAAAAAATATGATTCTGGAATCAAATCATGATTTCAAATCAAATCATTATTGCAGAATCATGAGAGTCCATCGAGTTGCTTGGGGATTTCAACACCATACGTTTAATGGCCACCATCAGCTTTGGTATCGGACACGTTGCCAGTATTGTTTTCATCAGCTGTTCCCAGTCAATTGTGGAATCAAAGCCTTTAGCATATTGGTGGCCTTACAGTGTCATATCCTTCCCACATACTTTCGTCTCACCCCCCAATGCTCCATTTGTATCCACCTGGGTTGATCCCACATGTGTTCAACCTTTCTTAGATGCCATACAAAGTAACAATTTTTGCTCCTCACTTGTCGCCTCATTAACATGTCCTCTAAAGTCCTCTTGTTTCGTATTAAAGGCAAAGGACGATTCCTGTTCTGCAGGCAATGTGGCTGATCTGTCATGGATTTTGGAGTTATTTCTAACACATTTTCCCATAGACATTACCACTGTCGCCACATGTCTAATATGACGTTATCATTGCACAGTTGCAATAAATTATAGTTAAAAGATACTGTACTAAATGAGTAAAATGAATGTGCAGATGTTCCATTTGTTGAACGACAGAGCATATGACTTCCATTGACAATAAGTTACTTCTCTAAATATATACCGTCTCTTTAATGTTATTTTGTTTAATATACAAAACGTGCTTTAATGGTTTTGATAGCTTTTAATAGATTCTGACAAGGTACTCCTGAATTATGATTACAGTGAGGGTAAAAAGTATTTGATCCCCTGCTGATTTTGTACGTTTGCCCACAGACAAAGAAATGATCAGTCTATAATTTTAATGGTAGGTTTATTTGAACAGTGAGAGACCAAACAAAAACAACAAAATCCAGAAAAACGCATGTCAAAAATGTTTTAAATTGATTTGCATTTTAATGAGGGAAATAAGTATTTGACCCCCTCTCAATCAGAAAGATTTCTGGCTCCCGGGTGTCTTTTATATAGGTAACGAGCTGAGATTAGGAGCACACTCTTAAAGGGAGTGCTCCTAATCTCAGCTTATTACCTGTATAAAAGACACCTGTCCACAGAAACAATCAATCAGATTCCAAACTCTCCACCATGGCCAAGATCAAAGAACTCTCCAAGGATGTCAGGGACAAGATTGTAGACCTACACAAGGCTGGAATGGGCTACAAGACCATTGCCAAGCAGCTTAGTGAGAAGGTGACAACAGTTGATGCGATTATTCGCAAATGGAAGAAACACAAAATAACTGTCAATCTCCCTCGGCCTGAGGCTCTATGCAACATCTCACCTCGTGGAGTTGCAATGATCATTTGAACGGTGAGGAATCATCTTCTTTGGTTCTTTCGGTAAAGTCACGTAGAATGAGAATAAAATAATAAATTGATAAAATAAAATAACACAATAATATTCTCACGACGTTTCGGCCACAACACAAGCGGCCTTCATCAGGTGAAGGGGGCGAGACTGTCTGGTAGGACAGCGCTGGAGTGAGAGAGCCACGTTCAGATCACGGCTTTTAAGCTGTGTGAGAGGAACAAAGAGCCTTGACAAAGGAATTAGCATAAAATTTAGCATTGAAATGGCTGAATGATTAGCTTGTGACTGGTCACAGAAATAGCTATGTTAAAAGTTAAAGCATACACATCCGCAGAGGCACCCATTGTTAAAAGGAATTAGCATAGAATTTAGCATTGAAATAGCTAAGTTAAGGCATACACATCCGCAGAGGCACCCCTTGACAATGGGATTAGCATAGAATTTAGCATTGAAATGGCTGAGTGATTCGCTTGTAACTGCTACAGAAATAGTTACGTTGAAGTCAGAGCATACACATTCACCGAGGCACTTAGTACAAATCAAACAGGAGAATTTAGCATTGAAATAACTAGGCGAATTTAGCATTGAAATAACTGGGTGATTTGCTAGTGACTGGTCACAGAAATGACTACACATCTGAGCTATTCACAGTACTATATAGTGAACCAATAAAAACTAAAATATAAATTACCTTCATGTATAAATTACCTTCATGTTATCAATAAACTTTATATTCTCCAAGAGGATCCTTCTTCATGACTGGAGTGATGGCTTTGCAGATTGTGTAGTAGGAGTAGCCATTAGCCCTGAGAGCCTGGTGTACGTGCTTGAGTTCACTGGTAATGTGTTCCTGGTCGGAAATGCATTGGGCTCTATGGTATAGAGTCTTGATGAGGCAGTTCTTCTGGGATGGATGGTGGTGGGAATCCGGTTTCAAGTAAGCATCTGTATGGGTAACTTTCCTGTAGACAGAGTGGCTCATTGAACCATCATGTCTCCTTTTGAGGAATCAGCCCAGAACTACACGGGAGGATCTTGTCAATGATCTCGAGGCAGCTGGGACCATAGTCACCAAGAAAACAATTGGTAACACACTACGCCGTGAAGGACTGAAATCCTGCAGTGCCCTCAAGGTCCCCCTGCTCAAGAAAGCACATATACATGCCCGTCTGAAGTTTGCCAATGAACATCTGAATGATTCAGAGGACAACTGGGTGAAAGTGTTGTGGTCAGATGAGACCAAAATGGAGCTCTTTGGCATAAACTCAACTCGCCGTGTTTGGAGGAGGAGGATGCTGCCTATGACCCCATGAATACCATCCCCACCGTCAAACATGGAGGTGGAAACATTATGCTTTGGGGTTGTTTTTCTGCTAAGGGGACAGGACAACTTCACCGCATCAAAGGGACGATGGACGGAGCTATATATCGTCAAATCTTGGGTGAGATCCTCCTTCCCTCAGGTCATTGAAAATGGGTCGTGGATGGGTAGTCCAGCATGACAGTGACCCAAAACACACGGCCAAGGCAACAAAGGAGTGGCTCAAGAAGAAGCAATCTGTGGAGGGAGCTGAAGGTTCGAGTTGCCAAACGTCAGCTTCGAAACCTTAATGACTTGGAGAAGATCTGCAAAGAGGAGTGGGACAAAATCCCTCCTTAGATGTGTGCAAACCTGGTGGCCAACTACAAGAAACGTCTGACCTCTGTGATTGCCAACAAGGGTTTTGCCACCAAGTACGAAGTCATGTTTTGCAGAGGGGTCAAATACTTATTTCCCTCATTAAAATGCAAATCAATTTATAACATTTTTGACATGCGTTTTTATGGATATTTTTTTTTGTTATTCTGTTTCTCACTGTTCAAATAAACCTACTATTAAAATTATAGACTGATCATTTCTTTGTCAGTGGGCAAACGTACAAAATCAGCAGGGGATCAAATACTTTTTTCCCTCACTGTATGCTGCTTTAGTAAGGTTGAAATTTGTGTTTGTGATAATCTGTTTAACACCGTTGATGCTGTTTCACTATCGTGAATATCATGACTTGTTTTCATATGCTGTTCTTGTTACTTTAATGCTTTTAATTGTTTTTTTTATCTGTAGGCGTAACCTGTAAAACAACAACAATCCTTCTGGATGGACGACGTATTAAACTCCAGCTCTGGTAACTTGGAACACAAGTACCGTAATTGTATAGAACAGTAAACATTTGTAACACAATCTGGTGCAATGGTAATAGCTGCTGTGCACTAGCGAATGTTGAGCTTTTCATGCCCTAGTGAGATCCATTGTCACTTAAAAAATAGACATCAGTTTTTAGAAGCTAACCTCATACAAATCCCAATTTTAACTTCTCATCCAGCCGTAAATCCGAGTATTTTTCTGCTTATACGTTGCTTACTCATAAGTGTCTTGATCAATGAGGGTTTTTTTACATAGCTATTTTTTTGTTTTAAGACATCGTTGAATAACGATTGTTTTTTTCCTGGGAGGTGCACCAACAATTTACACACGGTTCTGAATTGTGTTCGTGCAGGGACACGTCAGGACAGGGAAGGTTCTGTACAATCTTTCGCTCATACTCCCGTGGCGCGCAGGTATTTGAGAATATATCATGCATTTTGCATCGCCTCAAATTATTCGCATTCAATTGCGAAATTGCTTGCAAATGGCAGCAACCCGCAGTTTCCAAATAGCGGACCCATGAATACGTTTTTTTTACACCATTTCATTACTTCAATGTGTGTGACTGCCTTCATGATTGTCTAAGTAATGGTTATTTTAATTGGTGCAGAAATGATCATAGTGTGTCCCTTTAAAAACGGCAATGATATAAATAATACAGGACGCCACCACTGCTGTAGCACCCTGATGAAAGACACAAAATGTAAGCCTCTTAACATGTCCCAAGAGGCCTTGTTTTTACTTAGTAACCACAGTTGTGTTTTATTTTATCTTTGGACTCTGTTGCTTCAAATAGGGCATAGTGTTGGTCTATGACATCACCAGCCGTTGGTCTTTTGATGGGATCGAGAGATGGATCAAAGAAATTGACGAGGTGAGAACTTTGGCCCTTTATTCTCAATGTAACCAGTTTACTTGCCTACACATGTGACCCAAGACGAATGAGAAGCAGCTAATAATTAAAAGTGCACGCATACAAGATGCAGTTAAGAGGGCAGTGGCAACCTAACCAAATAACAATCACGTACTTAGTCAAATTATGCTCTATACAAATATGATCGAATCCAGCGATGTGAATCTCTCACGTCTGATATATCTGGCTAGTGGAGACGTTTGGGTGTTTTGTATTTTACGGTCAATTGGCATGACTATTCGTTTGTGACCTCGCGCGCACGCCCGCAGCATGCGCCGGGTGTGCCCCGAATCCTGGTGGGCAATCGCCTGCACCTAGCGTTCAAGCGGCAGGTCAGCACCGAGCAGGCACAGGCCTATGCGGAGCGCCACAGCATGACCTACTTCGAGGTCAGCCCGCTGTGCAACTTCAACATCACCGAGTCGCTAACGCAGCTCTCCCGCATCGCCCTCATGCGGCACGGCATGGAGCGCCTCTGGAGGCCCAACCGAGGTAAGTATCGCACGCGCAGCGTCGCCAAGGCGTTGTGACAGCGAGTGTCTGCAGCACTGCGAACGCCTTGGTGGCGAGCATGATTGATGTGCTCGATCGTGGTGCCACAGTCCTGACGTGTGATGCCGGAAGCAATGGAGATCGTGAAATATGTTGGAGTTGGCAGATGCTCGCCTCCTTTATGGGCCAATATTGTTAGTTACATTTCCCAGGTCGAAGCTGCATTGTGGATCAAAATGATTTATCGGCCATAACTCCAAAGGTGTGCGAAATACCTCGCTGCTATATGGAGATTCAATGTGTCATGCTACCAGTACACAGGTACGATGCACAGTTTATACGTGAAATGTGTTTTTTGTTTAATGGGATCATATGTTTCGACTTCATCATGTTGCATGAAATTTCGGGTGGAGCAGTGGTTAGCGCAGTGTATTATGAACCCAGCAACTTGAGCTTGATTCCAGTCTATGGCTAACACCAGTGGCGAGTGATGTCTAAACCGGTCCTATGAGCACACTTCATCAACTTGCACTGAGCATCTCAGTGAAATAAGGTCGGATAACTCCCAAGATCCAAAGGCATCATCCAGCAGTGGATAGATGGTCCTACGTCTTTTTTGATGCAACTTAGTTTGCAAGTCTTATAATTTAAACTAATAATATTTAATGTTTGTATTCATACTGAAATCTTTATATAGTAACACCATTAAATATATTTTTCATTGTGAAATTAGACTAAAAGTGCATGTAAATATTGTTTATCTGATCCAGATTCCTAACGATATACAAATTCCCCAAAAATTGCTGGGGAATAGTTATTTAAATCTAAATTGCCAATGTTTTAATTTCGAACCTTTTGTACCACATTATTTAAAATAGTACTAAAGGAGTTAAATAGGACATTAATTAATTGAAGTGACTTAAATAACATACTTCAGATACGAGCCAGGCTGCTTGCTGAGCGCTTTGAGATGGGCAAAGCAGACGATCATTAAACAACCGGGTTTGTGCTTCGACAAAATAATATTCACTCGGGGAAACGTCTCCTAATTCCATTTACAAAAATAGAATCACGGGTGGACCACTGCATATGCCAGTGTGGTTTATGCCGCTGCAGGGCTATGCCACGTTGTGGCCAGAAGAGGGCACTGCAGCGCAGCAGAAGCAAATTTACTTTGTCTACATTTTGTGGAGAGGCCATCGATCCGTAGTGGATTGACAAAAAAAAAAGCTTGTACATAACAGTAGAATATGCACCATGCTAATGTTAATGAAAATGTGTTTGTCTTAATTGTGGAAAGACAGCAGAAACATTAAACGACTTTCTATTTTGAGATTGTGCTTTTACATGTGCTGTACAAATGCTGGAAAATGTTAAACTATAGTAAGAGGGGCATTTCGTTTAGTGCAATTTCCAACTGTAAGCCAATCTTTTCATCCTCTCCCTACTTTGAAGTAGAACCATTGCCCAAACCATTAGGCGACTAAATATTTTGTTATGAGACGATATTACTGAAAGTGGTGGTTTTGTTTTTACAAATGTGATGAGAAATGTAGTGCTTAACCTTTCCTTGACATGACGGGGTCCCTGGCAACATTCGCGTATTATTCCTTGGCAACCTTCCTCAGTGCTGAGCCTGCAGGACCTGTGCTGCCGGTCCATCGTCTCGTGTACGCCAGTCCACCTCATTGACAAGCTGCCGCTGCCCGTGACGGTGAAGAGCCACCTCAAGTCCTTCTCGATGGCCAACGGAATGAACGCCTTCACCATGCACGGCCACTCGTACTTCCCACACACGAGCAACGCCGGGAAAAGGAGCAGTCTGAAGAAGTCTCCCTCCATCAAGGTCACACGGCCAGTGCTGTCCCCTCCAGAGAGCTGCACGAGGAACAGCTGTAAAATATCTTAGTCGTCAAAACGAACCCCCGTCCTTGGGTCTGAGAACCATTTTGTTGGCCCAGTCTTAATGTTATTGTGTTTCGTTCAGAGGACTCTTAGTCATTGTTGAAATGTTGTTCATGGGAGATTGTCAAAAAAAAGTAACACTTTTAAACGATTGTAGGTCATCCTATGCACTTTTTGCTATCAGTGTTTGGTCATCTTTGTGCAGGTGTGTATATGTACAAGTTTGTAACCTTGTGCACTGCTTTTGTTGAAGCTGAGCAAAACAGATTTGGATGTCGATAGTCATGATTTATTGTGATGTTGAATTGACTGCAAACTTGTACAGTGTAAATATATTGACATGTACACTCATGTACATATATCTCTCTCGTAATTTTTTCACCCTTTTTATGGCGTATAAAGATCTTCCTCAAGTTGTTTTTAAACATGGTCAAGGTGATGTTCACAAACAAGGTCTACTATGAGTATTTATTTGTAGTAGGTTTTTTTTAACGAATTGTCACCAAGTTCTGGCTCTCGGTGATCTTCTCTGCCTTCGGTCATATCCTGAAGGGGTTATTTTTGAGCTTGAAGATGCACCACTCTAAGAATATGTTTACAGGTTTTAAAAATATTTTAAGACATAGGCTTACACAGCTAACATATCATGTGCAGCATGCTTAGTTACAGCAAGCAGAGCATGGGAAACTTTGGAGGACCATGCAAGCAACAGAGCCATTACACATGCATCAAATGTTAGCCAATTTGATAGCTCTCATTTGGTTGGTGTGTTAAATATTGATATTTTTTTGTATGTGTGATACTTGCTGTCATGATGTCTTTTAATAGTGGCATGTGCCAACCGCAGTGTTCCGTGTGCTTGACATGTTTATACGAAGCGTAGATTTGTCCACCGTTACGCAATTGTCCAGCAATGCACAATGGTTTAAAACACTCGAGGTATAAAGTGTGTGAATAGGCTGTTGTACACTAAAAAAAATCGCTACAGCGCTGGAATCTGAAAATCGCAGCCTCCACAGACATGGCGTCTTAAAGTTAGTGGTACACACATTTTAGTATGCAATCAATTTATGTTTTAAAAAAGCTGGGTCTGTGCATCTTGCTGTTGGCCTCGCATACAAAGGTGTTCTTTTGCAAAGTAGCATTGTGTCTGAGTGAAATGTGTAAGATGTGGCGGGTCTGCTTGGGGGGGGGGGGGGAACTGGTTTCAGCATTTGACGGGGGGGGGGGGGGGGGGGGAAGGATCGAGGAAAAGTAAATAATTAAACAAATCTCTCTTTCCGACCTCGAGGAGTTGCTGCATCCCATGGTGCATGCATCATGCTGAGTATAGTCCTGGAGTTCTGTGGCACCATTTCGAGTGGGTGGGGAAGCTCCTGTCATTGCGACTGATTAGTGCAGGTGATTTCGAATACAATAGTGAACTAGAGGAAATGATTAGTTGCCCCAGCGAGTGCTGGCCTGTGGCCAGACCTGTTCTTCAGGAAGGCTATGTGGATTTCTTGGATGGAAAACCTGTGAAGCTTACCGCTTTTCTGATTTGGTGGACGGTATGCAACTGGAAGTAGGACAAGAAATGTACATTTGGTCGACCAGCTTGGCTTGGCCATTTGTGATGAGCAGCTAATAACCTTGATGTGATTAGAACCGCACAAGCCAAACACTACTAAAGAAACCTGTGAGCAATACAGCTTATTAATGAACAAGAAAACGGTGCAATCGGAGCAAATGTTCAACTCTGTCCGACGCCCAAATGTGGGTGACTCCAATTTGATTTGGCACAGCATCTCGGTTGTGTGGAGTGATATGGTGAATTGTGTATTGCGTGGCACCAGAAATAGAATATTTTTAGATCCTTACAATTGCCTTGCACATGTTGGGCACGTGTCAGTGCGAGACACTCAGGAGTTCATGGTCCGTGTTTTTATTGACTTTTGACTTAATAGTTTGTTTCATTTTCATTGTGGAATTGTTTCAAGTGGTTTAACAGGTTTCATTTGAAACCAAAGATTTTAATGTGCATGTGTGCTTGTGAAGTGGACAATGGTGGTGTATTTTTCATGTCAAGTGTAACGCAATTTTCCTTAACTATTTCATAAGGGGATGACGAGTAGTGTGTTTTATAATACGTAGATAATTTGATAATTATATGTATATAAACTTTAATAAAATAGTGCTGTTGAAATGGATTGTACCTTTGGCCAGTTTTGAAAGCACATTTGCAGATCTATGCAAAAAGACTTAAAAAAAGAACATTTCTTAGTAAGAGTGCATGATGCTATTGATTTCATGCATACCATAATCTGGATTGTTTTTATTTTGAATGGGCATTGACATGTATATTAAATGTTCCTGTTGGACAACAATATTAGTTGATTGAGTTTATTGTCAAAAACGAGGGACTTTTATTATAGACTTATGAACCAAATTAGTTGGTAAAGCTTCACACACACCAGAGCATCTGTTAAACACTCAGCTTTTAGTTTCTTGTGAGAAACCTGGTAAACCAAAACAAACTTAACATTTTTGAACAATGTATTGTAAACCAGCAGTTTTTTTATTTCATTATTCCATGCATCGTTGGCAGGACAGAATATTTTTTTATGCCATCAGCACCTGAGTAGTTAAGTTATTGCAATGGCCACTAATCAGCATTTTTTTCCACGAGAGGCATGCTAAGTTAATTAAAATTGCCACGGTGTACTGGTTAGAGCGTTTTGACCTTGCAATCAGGTTGCAGGTTCAAATCCAAATTGCGGTTTAAACTCACCATCAGCCAAGTGTGGTCATCCTTTGGATATTTCCCCCCTCCCCATCACAGATGTGGAGGTTAGAACACCGACACCAATTGATGGGCGCTGCTTAAATGCTTGTGGAGGAAGACATCTGATCTGTGTAACAAGTTATCAAAATGTGCTGTTGCATACGTTCAGGTTTAACTTTGTATATTTATCTCTATCAAATAACTCGGTACATAACCCCAAGTGTTTTCTTCAAGGTTTGCCATCACAATTTGGTCTGACTTTGGGCTTCAATATTTGTTAACATTAAAATATAAAGCTCGGTCCCAGAGGGCTTGTACTGTATTGTATTTTATCCAGTAAATCCTATATCAGGGTCCGCATGAATTGGGCATGTTTACTGTGCACCGTATTTGTAAAATATAAATGCATGTAGCTATGTACTGACATTGGCCTTGCATATAGATTCTAGCAACATCCCTTTCTGCATGAGCACTGATAATGTGTAAAAGTTAGGGCATGAAACAACGATAGGAAAGAGGAAATAAACTATCAATTTAATTTATTGACGCTTGAAAAACTACATCCTTTGGTAAATTAAAATAAATACATAGTTAAACATAAACAATTTTGATTTAAAGCTTTCGTGACTGCAGTGATTCATATTCTTGGTTCTTTCGGTAAAGTCACGTTGAAGGGAAGCAATAAAATAATATATTGTTTCATAGATATTTTATTGTTTCCCTTCAACGTGACTTTACCGGTTCTTTCGTTGAAGGGAAACAATAAAATATCTATAAAACAATATATTATTTTATTGTTTCCCTTCAACGTGACTTTACCGAAAGAACCAAGAATATAATATTTACAGTGTTTGCTTTCATGTATGCAAGCCATTTACCCCATCAATGGGGGGAAAGTCTACTTCCTGAGGTTGATACAGTATATCAAAAAGTCTTGAAAATTATTCATAAAAAGGCATGTGTAGCTGCTTCAACTTTTAAAATCACAAGCTGTTGAAGAAATTGTATTTTGGTACATTATAATAAAATGAAGTGGCGGTAGCTGTACGGTTGTGCACTATTCTTAAACATGTTTTTTATTATTAATGACGTGTAGCTAATATTTGACTTTGTTATTTAATTGACCACATTTGGTATTGAGGAAACGTAAGGTGGCGAGATGTGAACTACATCGCCTGGTATACAGGAGGTCGTGGCTTCGATCCCGACCCTGACGCCTCTATATTTGGAGTTTGTGTCTCTCTTCCCATGGTCACGTGGATTTTTCTCCGGGTCCTTCGGTTTTCCCCTCCACATATAGAAACATGAGTTTAGAGCATTTGGCTGCTATAATTTCCACATGATAAGCCACTTCGTTGAGCCACTTGTGACCAGGCCTTACCTGGTCAAATAAAAAATAATTAAGATGTTGGCTGTAATATATATTTTTTACGTTTGGCAATATGTTCAAGAGCTAAATGCCAATGTTGAGATCTGCTAGCCACGAGGGTTTAAGGAGAGAGCTCGTGGAGTCTTGCTATTCCTCCATTGAAGCACAGACCAGTGGTTTACTACATGGCCAATAGTTTGGTTTGCATGGTCACAATCGCACTACCGTGGCACGTCTTTCAATTTCCTTTCATGAAGGAGATGTGTGCATCAGCCTGTTAATATTTTAATGTGGCTCATTGTCACACCGCCAATGTCTTCAAGTAATGTCCAAGCCAGAGGGTGCGATGTTTGGGTCTCAAATGAGGTGTTGATTCCGCACGTTCACGTTCCACTTTGTTCACCAGCGTTCTTCTGGATCTGGGTGAGATTCAAGGATGGCGACAGGATGATACCAGACGTCATGATATATTAGAACCTCTAAGCATGGGACCGGTACAAAGTTCAAATACATCGACGTCACTCCAGAGAAGACAGTCTTGTTGCGGTAATGCACCGTTTTTAGTTATTTATGGAGTAATTTAAATAATTGAATTTTAGGAAGTTTAAAAAATAGATTTAATTAGGTCCCTTGTGAATGCCATTGGATTTCAAGTGAAGCAGTAATGTGCTGTGAAACCATCTGTTCAAGCTTTGGGGAGCTCATTGAATCGTGCCACCTTTTGACCCATTGCCTTTGTGGCAGTAAGCACAGCTGCTACGTTGGTGATTGTTATTGATTACAAAGCGAGAAGACGACATAAGCAACAACTGGTCATGAAATCACATGCAGTCATATCCGAATGTGGTTAAATGTTGAATTTTATCCTAGGCTGCAGAAACCTCTAACCTAGCAGAAGCAATCTGACGCCACTATACATTACTGCATCACTTCTTCTTGATGTCCCACGTAATAATCTAAAAACATTAAAAAAAATTAAACAGTGGAATGCAAATATCTTGCTGAATCAGCTGTAACAACTGGATTTATGCAAACATGATATCCATATTCAGAGATGAATCCATGGATTAATACTGCATTTGAATCGCGGAATCATGAGAAAAAGCGATGATATTCGGTTGCAATTGGCTACAAAATAACTGGTCGATTATAATCGTTTGTAAATTAATCTACTTAATCAGCGACTCGTCCCATCTCATACCTGTCAACCCATACGGTTTACCCGTATTCTTGTACAGGGAAATTGAGTTTTCAGGTCCATACGACGTACAGCCGTTTCAATACGGGCAAAAAAGGTCTATTTGTGTTTCTCCTTTGTGATGGGACTTTGTGGAATGAACATTGAGATTTATAAGGGCACGGGGTGATCAATACGGTCTGAATCGGTCTGTAATAAGGCAGGCACTGACAAGGGGTTGACACGGATGCCATGTCCAATTCTAAATGTCCAGGCAACCCCGCACCCCCTCAACCCCCGTCATGGAGATTTAACTTGTGTGCAGTTTCCCTCTGCGGGCCAGTCTATACAACTGCAACATGGGATTGTAGGCAATCCAACCCCATTATTCACAAGCTGTGTGTACAATACAGTTCCGTGCTGTGGTGTCAAATACAACCTAATGAGAGTGAAATTCGTATCGTCCACCATCAACTGCAGTTGCGTGCACGTGCCCTCTGCAAATGCATAACTCCTCTGGGCTTAAGCCTCAGGGCAAAGGGAAACCGTCCAACTTGCCACCACCGGACTACATACATGCCCCCGGCATTGTATTAGACTCAGTGCATGACTGCAAACATTTCATGAAGTGCATGCTAACACGTAGAAAGGTCCACATTTAAATCAAATACTTGCAGCCGCTACAAGGTGATGAAAAAAAATGTCTAAAGTTGCCAAGACTGATGATGAACACTTAAGCTCAACCGTGAAGTTGAGCTTAAGTG